GCAGCCTCCACCTCCCCGGGTTCAAGCGATTCTCTTGCCTCAGTCTCCCGAGTAACTGGGATGACAGGCGCCCGCCACCATGCCCGGCTAATTTTTGTATTTTTAGTAGAGACGGGGTTTCACCATGTTGGCCAGCCTGGTCTGGAACTCCTGACCTCAGGTGATCTGCCCGCTGCGGCCTCCCAAAGTGCTGAGATTACAGGTGTGAATCACTGCTACCAGCCTAGTCAGTGTATTTTGAATAAATGCTATGGAAGCTCTTTTATTTCTCAACACTGTGAAAGACTTATCAACTGTCACCAGACATATTTAGTAGCGGAGTACTAAATCATCAGCTCCTTCTGCCTCAGTAGTCAATATTACTATCCTTATATAGCATTTGGCCCTGCCTCAGGTTCTATGCACTGACCCAGATGTTTATGTGAAGCAAATTACTAAAACCTTGAAAAATAATTTTCCTTCAAGCATTAGTCCCTATGTGTCATTTACATCTAATTCTTGGGTATTTTCAAGGAAAAGTTCTTGGTTGGAATTTGTCAGATTTTGCATTGAGATTAAAGCTAATCAGTTTTGCATGTATGTGCTCTCTGTCTGAAGAATTGATTTCCTGGAAAGTACTGCTCTCTTGAATTTACTTTTTTTTTTTTTTTTTTTTTTTTGAGATAGAGTCTCACTCTATCCCCCATGCTGGAGTGCAGTGGCACGATCTTGGCCCACTGCAACCTCCACAACCTGGGTTCAAGTGATTTTCATGCCTAGCCTCCCAAGTAGCTGGGATTACAGGTGTCCGCCACCACACTCGGCTAATTTTTATATTTTTAGTAGAGACGGGGTTTCGCCACATTGGCTGGACAGCTCTCAAACTCCTGACCTCAGGTGATCTGCCCACCTCAGCCTCCCAAAGTGCTGGGATTACAGGTGTGAGCCACCATGCCCGGCCTTGAATTTGCTTTTCTAGTGAAGCATTAGGGAGAAACTCTTCAAATCTATCATAATGGCTAACATTTATATAATACTCCGGAATTTACAAAGTAGCTACTTACAGCATTACCTCATTTAATCCCCACATTACAGGGGTCGTTGGAATCCCCATTTGTAGACATAGAAACTAGGAAATGAAGAAGTTAAGTGACTTGCTCAGGGACTAATGACTAATAGAGGCAGAAGCAGGACTCAAGCCTTAGTCCTCCAATTCCAAATCTTATGTCTTTTGCACTATCCCATACTGCCTGTAAGTTTTCTTCCTTTGTTTTAAAGCCATCATTTGTGGTCACCTAAAAATGTGAGGAGAGTCTGACCCTTCATATGCAAGATCTCATCAACTTAATAATAGTTACTGGGACATAGTATCACTATGGCCACAGTACTCAATGTTGGAAAATAACCCCATGAAGTATTTGAACCATTACTCCTATGTGGTTGTTTGGGATACACTGTCTAATCTTTATTTTCAAATGAGGTAATTAGTGTATGGTGTTTGTTTCTGAATCGGGCAGCCAGCAATTAACAGGAACAGGCCCTAGCTAGAAGAGGGCTGTTTTTTATTCTTTCAGACAGCCAGCTGTGGTACAGCACGTGAAATTTCCTCTTTGGACTGTCATTTCGAGCAAATGTCCTTTATTTCTTTTGCTCTGATGCCCCATCCCTCTGTTGGGGGTGGGGCGGGAGGCAAGTTATAGCATCCTAGTAGAATCCCCTGGCCAGATGGCAGTGGCTCATGCCTGTAATCCAGCACTTTGGCAGGCAGAGGCAGGAGGATCACTTGAGGCCAGGAATTCAAGACCAGCCTGGGCAACATAGTGAGACCCTGTCTCCAAAAATTTTAAAAATAAGCTGGGCATGGTGGTATGCATCTGTAGTCCTAGCTACTCAGGAGGCTGAGGTGGGAGGATCACTTGAGCCTAGGAGATTGACGCTACAGTGAACTATGAGTACACCACTGTACTCAAGCCTGGATGGCAGACCAAGACCCTGTCTCAAAAAAAAAAAAAAAAAGAAAGAAAAGAAAAGAAAAAAAAAAGGTCCGGGCACAATGGCTCACACCTGTAATCCCAGCACTTTGGGAGGCCAAGGCGGGCAGATCACGAGGTCAGGAGATAGAGACCATCCTGGCTAACATGGTGAAACCCCGTCTCTGTTAAAAATACAAAAATTAGCCAGGCGTGGTGGCGGGCGCCTGTAGTCCCAGCTACTCTGGAGGCTGAGGCAGGAGAATGGCGTGAACCTGGGAGGTGGAGCTTGCAGAGATCGTGCTACTGCACTCCAGCCTGGGCGATGGAGCGAGACTCGTCTCAAAAAAAAAAAAAAAAAAAAAAAAATCAGGCTCAGTGGCTCATGCCTATAATCCCAGCACTTTGAGAGGCTGAAGCAGGCGGATCACCTGAGGTCAGGAGTTTGAGACCAGCCTGGCCAACATGGTGAAGCCCCATCTCTACTAAAAATACAAAAATTAGCTTGGCATGGTGGCATGCGCCTGTAGTCCCTGCTACTCGGGAGGCTGAGGCAGGAGGATCACTTGAACCTGGGAGACAGAGGTTGCAGTGAGCCGAGATCGTACCACTGCACTCCAGCCTGGGTGACAGAGTGAGACCCTGTCTCAAAAAAAATCAAAAACAAAAAGAGAATCCTCAGAAGAATTAAGAGTTAAATTTCTGTGGCAGTAATGTGAGTCTCACCAGGCGGGCTCACTGCCTACTGAGAAGAGTCATCTGGCACTAAAACATCAAAACTAGCCTGGGTTCCTGCCATGCCTTTGGCATGGGGCATCAATTTTTTTTCTCAGGATATGATCACTATTTCCCCTCTGGGGACTTTGCAGTTGGCACAACTATTTCTTTTCATTTTTGACTGCAATTCTAGTCTAAATAGTCTCATGGGCTCTGGCTCCAATCTCCTGTCATTCTAATCCCAAGCAGCCAAGATCAGACACTGGGGTATCTCTTTACTGGCAGCCCCAGACTTGAACTTCGGAAATTGTGGGAAATTCCATTCTTTGGGCACGTAGAACTTGTGACTCTACCATAGAAGAGTTTCTACCATAGAAGAGTTTTCCCTGCTGAGTAGAAATGGCATCAGAATAATATGGAGAAAAGCATAATGAAAATAGTCCTTTATGTGTATATGATATTTTACTACTTAAAAAGTGATTTTATGTTTATTATCTTGTTTTTTCCTCCTTATAACCCCAGGAAGCAGACTGGCAAAGTGGTTAAGAATATCAATTCTGGGCCAGGCGCGGTGGCTCAAGCCTGTAATCCCAGCACTTTGGGAGGCCGAGATGGGCGGATCACGAGGTCAGGAGATCGAGACCATCCTGGCTAACACGGTGAAACCCTGGCTCTACTAAAAAATACAAAAAACTAGCCAGGCGAGGTGGCGGGCACCGGTAGTCCCAGCTACTCGGGAGGCTGAGGCAGGAGAATGGGGTAAATCCGGGAGGCGGAGCTTGCAGTGAGCCAAGATCCGGTCACTGCACTCAAGCCTGGGCGACAGAGTGAGACTCCGTCTCAAAAAAAAAAAAAGAATATCAATTCTGGATCTGTATTGCCTTAGTTTAAATTCAAATTCCGGCCGGGCACGGTGGCTCACGCCTGTAATCCCAGCACTTTGGGAGGCCGAGGCGGGCGTTTCACGAGGTCAGGAGATCGAGACCATCCTGGCTAACACGGTGAAACCCCGTCTCTACTAAAAATACAAAAAATTAGCCGGTCGTGGTGGTGCACGCCTGTAGTCCCAGCTACTCGGGAGGCTGAGGCAGGAGAATGGCGTAAACCCGGGAGGCGGAGCTTGCAGTGAGCCGAGATCGCGCCACTGCACTCCAGGCTGGGCGACAAAGCGAGACTCCGTCTCAAAAAATAAATCAATAAATCAATAAATAAATTCAAATTCCAACATTCATATTGCTATGGGCAGTTTACTTCATCCCTCAGTGCCTCAATTTCCTCACCTATCAAATTTAGACTTATAGGCTTGTTGTGAGGATTGAGATTAAACTTAGAATAGGGCATGGCAAAAGTTGTTATTGAGAGTTGTTATTGTGTAACAAAGAAAACCAAGGCTTAGAGAAATTAGGGACATTGGAATGAGATTCAAACTCAAATTCTCCTTATTTTGGGCCTGTTCTGTTGACTCCATCTCAGCTGCCTCTGAAAGCAATACCATGTATATTTGTATACTTGTACTAATGAATATAACTAGTTTTGATCCTTAGGAACTCTGGATCTCCTCTAATTATTTATTTTTATTTTTCCCATCTCTTTCCTTTCCTTCACTTCCCACAGAGAGAATCTTAAGTGGACAGAGATTCTAGAACAGGAGAAATAAAACAATAAGTGCTAGGGGTATAGTAGGCACTCTTGGGACACAGGGAAGCCTCACAAGTAGGGGAGAGGAAGAGTAATTGATAGATCTAGAAAATAAGCTATTCCTTGGTGCCACTCAAAAACATTAGTGTACACCCTTATTTGCTACATTGGTTGTGGCAGGAAGTTGTAGTAATATCTTAATTTCATCTAAAATTGATAGCAAACATCCTCCTAATTGGCCTGTAATTGGTGTATCCTTTGGATTGTGTCATTATTTAACTTGAGCCCTCTGTGTATCCACTGAGATTCCAGTGAAAGTGGAGATGGGAGAGAAGAACAGATTCAAGAGATACTTGGGAGAAACATTTAATTCTAACAAAGACCCTGTGAGTCATCAGGGCAGATACTAGTATCATTAGTCTTCTTGAAGAGAAATGATTTACACAAGGCCATAAATGATCAAACTTGAATTCTGGGCTTTTAACTGCAAGCATAAAGATTATCCCAACACACTGTATTTTCCCCATGCAGGTAGGAGAATGCTCCAGGTGATGATCCTGGTTCATAGGCAATAGTGATGAGTGTTGGACGTTTTACTCATGAAGAGATGTTACAGATTGGGTGGGTTCCCTTTCCTGTAAATAAGGAATAATCATTAGCTTTTTAGTAATTCTCTAATATTTCTATTTTATTTAGGCTATCGTTTCGGAGCAATGAGTTTAAAACCCTTTACCTACCCATTTCCAGAGACGAGATTTCTTCATGCAGGACCCAATGTGTATAAATTCAAAATCAGATATGGGAACAGTATCAGGTAATTTCAAAGGTCGGAGGGTAGCCTATGTAAACACCAGTTAGTGCTCGTGCATTCCCACAGGTCTCCTTTTCTCTATCTTCATACGGTTCAGGAGACTAGGTCACCTCTTCTCTACCTTCACCCAGCTCAGGAGACTGGTAAAGTAGCATCTTGCAGGACTGTCTTTCCCAGTATATATATTATTCATATGAGTTTCTAAATTAGGGACAACCTTTTTTTTTTTTTTTTTTTTTTTTTTTAAAGAGAAGCAGATCTCTATGTTGTCTAGGCTAGTCTCAAACCCCTGACCTCAAGCAATCCTCTCACCTCTGCCTCCCCAAGTGTTGGGATTATAGGTGTGAGCCACCACACCCAGCCTAGGACAACATATCTTTGAAGCAGTGTTTCTCAAAATTTTACATCTCAGGGCCGGGCATAGTGGCTCATGGCTATAATCCCAGCACTTTGGGAGGCTGAGGTGGATGTATCACTTGAGGTCAGGAGTTCAAGACCAGCCTGGCCAACATGGTGAAACACCGTCTCTACTAAAAATACAAAAATTAGCCAGGCATGGTGGTGGGAGGCTGAGGCAGGAGAATCGCTTGAACCTGGAAGACGGAGGTTGCAGTGAGCTGGGATTGTGCCACTCCACTCCAGCCTGGGCCACAGAGTGAGACTCTGTCTCAAAAAAAAATTTTTTTTTCCATCTCAGGACTCCCTTGCAATTTTTCTTTATTTGTTTTTTTTTTTTTTTTTCCAAGACAGGGTTTCACATGTAGTCGTGTGATCACCGCAGCCTTGACCTGCTGGGCTTAAGGGTCAGCCTCCAGAGAAGCTAGGACTACAGGCATAGTGCCACCACATCAGGCTAATTTTAAAATACTTTTGGTAGAAATGAAGTCTCACTATGTTGCTCAGGCTGGTCTCAAACTCCTGGGCCCAAGGGATCCTCCCTCCTCAGCTTTCCAAAGTGTTGGGATTCCAGGCATGAGGCACCCACACCCAACCTGCACTCTTTAAAATTATTAAGGACCCCAAAGAGCTTTTGATTAATCTGTCAATATTTGTCATAAAAATTAAAGCAAAAATTTGGCCGGGTGCACTGGCTCAGGCCTGTAATCCCAGCACTTTAGGAGGCCGAGGCAGGTGAATCATGAGGTCAGGAGTTTGAGACCAGCCTGGCCAACATGGTGAAACCCTGTCTCTACTAAAAATACAAAAAATTAGCTGAGTGTAGTGGCAGGCGCCTATAATCCCAGCTAACCAGGAGGCTGAGGCAGGAAAATCGCTTGAACTTGGGAGATGGAGGTTGCAGTGAGCAGAGATGGGTGCACTGCACTCCAGCCCAAGCAACAGTGTGAAACCCTGTCTCAAAAAAAGAAAAAAAAAAAAAAAGCAAAAATTTAAAACAGTTTATTAATTTAAGAATAATATATGTGGCCGGGCGCGGTGGCTCAAGCCTGTAATCCCAGCACTTTGGGAGGCCGAGAAGGGCAGATCACGAGGTCAGGAGATCGAGACCATCCTGGCTAACACGGTGAAACCCCGTCTCTACTAAAAATACAAAAAACTAGCCGGGCGAGGTGGCGGGCGCCTGTAGTCCCAGCTACTCCGGAGGCTGAGGCAGGAGAATGGCGTGAACCCGGGAGGCGGAGCTTGCAGTGAGCTGAGATCCGGCCACTGCACTCCAGCCCGGGCTACAGAGCAAGACTCCGTCTCAAAAAAAAAAAAAAAAAAAAAAAAATAATATATGTAACACATATGATATTATTAAAGTTATATTTAGTGAACCGGGCGGGCATGATGGGTCACGCCTGTAATATCAGCTACTCAGGAGGCTGAGGCACGAGAATCACTTGAAGCCGGGAGTTGGAGGTTGCAGTGAGCCGAGATCACGCCACTGCACTCCAGACTGCCCGACAGAGTTAACCTCCATCTCAAAAATAAATAAGTAAAATAAAATTATATTTAAAAATTGCGAAGATTGGCATTATTTATATTCCTGGGATTTACCCCAGGGGTACCAGGGTGGTTTCAGCATGTAAAAAACAATCAGGCTGGGAGCAGTAGCTCACACCTGTAATCCCAGCACTTTGGCAGGCCGAGGTGAATAGATGACTTGAGGTTAGGAGTTCAAGACCAGCCTGGCCAACATGGCAAAACCCCATCTATACTAAAATTACAAAAAAGTAGCTGGGTGTGGTGGCATGCACCTGTAGTCCCAGCTATTCAGGAGGCTGAGGCAGGAGAATCGCTTGAACCCGGGAGGCAGAGGTTGCAGTCAGCCGAGATCTTGCCACTGTACTGAATTTGATCAAACCCAGCACCTCACCCTTTCATGATAAAAACACTCAATTTAAAAACACACACACACACACACACATAGCTGGGTGCAGTGGCTCACACCTGTAATACCAGCACTTTGGGAGGCCAAATCAGACAGATCACCTGAAGTCAGGAGTTCAAGAGCAGCCTGGTCAGCATGGTAAAACCCTGTCTCTACTAAAAATACAAAAATTAGCTGAGCATAGTGGTGCACACCTGTAGTCCCAGCTACTCGGGAGGCTGACAGGAGAATCAGTTCAACCCGGGAGGCAGAGGCTGTAGTGAGCAGATCACACCACTGCACTCAAGCCTGTGCAACAGAGTGAGACTCTGTCTCAAAACAAAGCAAAACTATAAACTAGAAATAGAAGGGAACTTTTGGGTAGGTGCAGTGTCTCACTCTTGTAATCCCAGTACTTTGGGAGGCTCAAATGGGAGGATCGCTTCAGCATAGGAGTTTGAGATCATCCTGGGCAACAAAGTGAGACCCCATCGCTACAAAAAATAAAAGAAATTAGCTGGACATGGTGGTTTGCACCTGTGATCCCAGCTGCTTGGAAGGCTAAGGCAGGAGGATCCATTGGCCCAGGGAGTTGAGGCTGCAGTTAGCCATGACTGCGCCACTACCCCAGGCCTGACCTGGGATGATTTGTAACATGATGTTTCATTGGTGGTTTGGAACATTTTGGTTCACTGAATTATGCACATCCTCCAAATATTGATATATTTCATTATACAGTATCAAAAAATATTTGTTAGTATCACTATGATCTTAAACGTGTTGACGTATTTGGAAACTGTCAAACTCAAAATGGTGGACGGAAACTTTCCAAAATTTAAATTTTCACTTGAAAGCCCAAAATTTATTGTTGACAGCAAGTATTGTCAGTTCTTTTCCTTGAGTTGACATGCCTATTTTATTCATTTTTAAGAAAGTGTCTGTCAAACTTCCAAGTATGAATAACAACCATAGTTTGTCTGTTAGCTGATCATTCAAGTAAAATATTCCATGAAGAAAAGCAGACAGTTCAGTTTGCAGCTTAAACAGTCACACATGTAAGTTTCCCTAAAATAACCATCATATTTTGGTATGCAGCAGAAGCGCTTTATGCATACTTCGTGTTTTATCACATAACATTTAAAAAGATATGTAGTTAAAGATTGAGATTTTATAAAATGGTTGCTTTTTTTTTTCCTGCTTCCTCAAGGATATTCAGTGAAACTGGATTTTTTTTTTTTTTCCTGTGCAGCAGTAAAGATTACTTTGACTGATAGTATAGCCTAGTGCAACTGGCTAGATTTGTGCTAAGGCACTGGCAATTTTGCCCACCATTGCTTTTGCAATCATGGTTACAAATATTAACACAGTGAGAAAGGCAAATAACACCTTAGTATTATTATGAAAATAGTTTTACCCTTGAAGACCCATTGAAAGGGTCTTCAAGACCCTTAAGGGTCCCCAAAGCACACTTAAAGTACAAGTGCTCTAACAAATGATTAACTTTCACAGTGGGAATTTCAGGTCTTGGCAGGTCGAGAAATCATTCTGAACCAATGTTCAGACCGCACCACCTAGGTGATCACTTCTTCCCCATGAGCACTGGATCAGCACACACAGTTTGACTTATGCTTCTTTAGCACAGTGGAAGTGTCATTTTTGCCCTAGTAATGTCTAGTCTCTCCAGAGCTTTCCTTCATGTCTTACTTGTCTCTTGTCTGTTTACCTTCTAGAGGAGAAGAGATAGAAAATAAGGAAGTCATCATCCAGGAGCTGGAGGTAGGGAAAGAAGCATACGACTTCTGGAAAAGTTACTCTTTAAGCTAAGGATGCATCCACATTCAGGTTTTAATTATTTCGTACAAACTGAGTCACAACTTCCACTTGATAACTTGGCTTCTTCCTGCTACATCTCCTTTGCAAAGGAACTTTACTGTTTTTCCAGGGAAATTTAAAGCCTGTATTCTTTCTCAGTTTTCCTAGTTGAAGTGTCAGCACCTTTGAGGCTGAGAGCTTTTTGTTTTCACCAGAGTTTCCAGCCTTGGGCAGCTCTCTTTTGTGGCAGCTGGCATAGAGAAAGATTCCGGAGGACTGCCTCCTTCCAGGGCTCTGGGAAACCCACCATCCGAACCACTGCCTGGTACTTGACGTTCAGGAAACTCGACTGTAAATACACAGACAAGGCTGCTGTGTATTCATTTTAATTGGAAACATTTGCAATTGCCTTATTCCGACTTCATTTTCATTCCTTTCTACCCAGTTCCTCTAGCTTTAGGTTTTTCTACAGAAAGAAGAATGAGCAGGTGGTCAGCTTTATAAATTGGTGAAAGCAATGGACAAGGAGTTAGAGTTCTCGGATTTGGCCCTGGATTCCAGTTCTGGCATAGCCACCAATTAGCTATGTGACTGTTGGCAAATCATATATCAACTTGGATCTTAATTGCCTCATTTGGAAAATGAGAGGTTTAAACTAGCTTTTCCTCTTCTGACTTCACAATTCAGTGATTTGTGACTATTGTGATTTCTTAAGACATATGCCTCCACATTTCAAAGCAATTAAATACACTTAAACACAAAACTCTGTGAAACCAAAACTGAGTCATACCCTTAAGAAGGCACCTCTTTGGCTAAGTGTTAAAAGATACATTAGGATCTTGCAGGACCCTCAAGGACATCATTATGAATGAGTTATTTTAACATAGGACCAAGAAAATGTTCTACCTGGTTTTTGTTTTTGTTTGAAATGGAGTTTTGCTCTGTCACCAGGCTGGAGTGCAGTGGCGCGATTTCAGCTCACTGCAACCTCCACCTCCCGGGTTCCAGTGATTCTCCTGCCTCAGCCTCCCAAGTAGCTGGGACTACCAGCATGCACCACCACGCCCAGCTAATTTTTGTATTTTTAGTAGAGACGGGGTTTCACCATGTTGGCCAGGATGGTCTTGATCTCTTGACCTCATGATCCACCCACCTCAGTCTCCCAAAGTGTTGGGATTACAGGTGTGAGCCACTGTGCCCGGCTGTTCTACCTATTTTAATTATGGGCAGAGTAGGCTTTATTTCACTTTGTTTCAGTTAACCTGAGCAGTGAAAAGCTCATGGAAGCATAACAGAGAGGAGGGAATACAGACTTTAGAGCCAATCAAACCTGGATTTGAAGTGTCCATACTAGAATAGTGTCTAGCTTCTAATTATAATAGCTAATATTTATTGAGTAATTACTATGGGAAGTGTTCTGCCATTCATAATTTGACTTTGGGCAAATTACCTACCCTCTCTGAGTCTGTTTCCTTACCTGTCAAATGGGGTTAATAAAGAAGGCCTGTTTCAAGACTGAGGATTAGAAATAGATGTCTGCAATGCCTGCCACACAGTAGCTCAATAATTAGTAGCTTGAGAGCATTTACATTCACCATATGTCATATTTCCAAGATGCATTTGATATGCATATGCGTCTTTCTCTTATGCTCACTAGTTTGGGGTCAGATGTTATCATTCTGTTTTCGTCATTTAGAAAACACTTACTGAAGCCGGGCACTGTGGCTCACACCTTTAATCCCAGCACTTTGGGAGGCGAAGGCAGGTGGATCACCTGGAGTCCGGAGTTTAAGACCAGCCTGACCAACATGGCAAAACCCCATCTCTACTAAAAATATAAAAATTAGCTGGGTGTGGTGGCACATATCTGTAGTCCAAGCTACTCAGGAGACTGAGGCAGGAGAATTGCTTGAACCTGGGAGGCGGAGGTTGCAGTGAGCCAAGATCGCACCACTGCACTCCAGCCTGGACAACAGAGTGAGACTCCATCTCAAAAAAACCCTGGAAAACATTTACTGAGAAGCAGGATAGCCTATGGGTTAAGACTAGGAGCTCTGGAACCCTACTACCTTGGTTCAGATCTTGGCCCCGCTATTTCTAGTTATGTAATCTAGACTACATTTTTTCACTTCTCTTTGTCTGTTTCCTCGTCTATAAAATGGGAATAACAGAATTGCCTATCTCACAGGGGTTTTGTAAGAGTTAAATTAATTAATATGTATAAAAACACGGCCGGGCTTGGTGGCTCACGCCTGTCATCCCAGCGCTTTAGGAGGCCAAGGCAGGAGGATCACCTGAGGTTAGGAGTTTGTGACCAGCCTGGCCAACATAGTGAAACCCCATCTATACCAAAAATATAAAAGTTAGTCAGGTGTGGTGGCAGGTACCTGTAATCCCAGCTACTTGGGAGGCTGAGGCAGGAGAATCGCTTGAACCCGGAAGGCAGAGGTTGCAGTGAGCGGAGATCATGCCATTGCACTCCATACTCCAGTCTGGGCAGAAGAACAAAACTTCATCTCAAAAACAAACAAAAGGCTGGGCGTGGTCGCTCATGCCTGTAATCCTAGCACTTTGGGAGGCCAAAGTCGGCGGATTGCCTGAGCTCAGGTGTTTGACACCAGCCTGGGCAACATGGCGAAACCCCATTTCTACTAAAAATACAAAAAAATAGCTGGGCGTGGTGGTGCGTGCCTATAATCCTAGCTACTTGGGAGGTTGAGGCACGAGCACTGCTTGAACTCAGGAGGTAGAGGTTGCAGTGAGCCAAGATTGTGCCACCGCACTCCAGCCTGGGTGACATAATGAGATTCTGTCTCAAAAAAACCAAAAAACAGAAACACTTCCCATATAATTACTCAATAAATATTAGCCAGTATAATTATAAGCTAGACACTGTGCTACTATGGAGAATACAAAGATAAACAAGACACAATTTCTTTTTTTTTTTTTTTTTTTTGAGACAAGGTTTCACTCTGTTGCTAGTCTAGAGTGCCGTGATGCAATCATAGTTCACTGCAGCCTCGATCTCCCAGGTTCAGGTGATCCTCCCACCTCAGCCTCCCGAGTAGCTACAACTACTGGCGTGTGCCACCACACCCAACTCATTTTTGTATTTTTGGAGAGATGGAGTTTTGCCATGTTGCCTAGGCCAGTCTCGAACTCCTGGGCTCAAGCAATCCACCTGCCTTGGCCTCCCAGAGTGCTGGGATGACAGGCATGAGCCACTGTGCTGGCCACAGTTTCTATCTTCTTTGAACCCAAACATGAGAACACTGAAGCTTAGGGTGAAATGACAAGCCTGGGACTGAAATTGAGACTTTTTCCCCATAGAAATTTAGTAGTCTTTATGATGCCAAATTAATTAGTGTAGACTAATAAGCATTAGCTTAATTAGGGACTAATCGATTAAAATTTAAAGTGAGTGGAAAAAAAAGTTTGACTTAAACAAAAGCAAAATACTATATATCAGTAAATGCCAGTGTTGTTCATTCATTCAATGTACATTTAGTGAAGACTTGTTATGCGTTATTCACGATGGTAGACACCATAGAAGGGATACTAAGATAAATCAGGTGTATATTCTACTTCAAGTAGATCTCCCAGTAAGGAATATAAAACATTTGTATGTGGAATGTAGTAAAGACTCCAGGCTAACTACTGTTCAGTTTGATACTAACAGTTAATTACAACTTGGTAAATCAGGGAAAGCTTTCTGGGGGAGATGACTTTTGAACTATGCCTTAAAGGATAGTTGAATTTGGACAAGTGCTGATGGGTGGAAAGGGCATTTCAGGAAGAGAAATTCCCTTTCTATGCAAAAGTATAGAAACGGAGAAGTAGGATGGGTGCAGTGGCTCACGCCTGTAATCCCACCACTTTGGGAGACCAAGGAGGGCAGAGCATAGTGAGCTATGATTGCGTCACTACACTCTAGCCTAGGCGACAGAGTGAAACCTTGTCTCTAAAAAAAAAAAAAAAAGCCGGGCACGGTGGCTCAAGCCTGTAATCCCAGCACTTTGGGAGGCCGAGACGGGCGGATCACGAGGTCAGGAGATCGAGACCAGCCTGGCTAACACGGTGAAACCCCGTCTCTACCAAAAAAATACAAAAAACTAGCCGGGCAAGGTGGCGGGCACCTGTAGTCCCAGCTACTCGGGAGGCTGAGGCAGGAGAATGGCGTAGACCCGGGAGGCGGAGCTTGCAGTGAGCTGAGATCCGGCCACTGCACTCCAGCCTGGGCGACGGAGCGAGACTCCATCTCAAAAAAAAAAAAAAAAAAAAAAAAGAAAGAAAGAAAGAAAGAAACTCCTGAGCCCAGGAGTTCAAGACTATCCTGGGCAACATGGTGAAACCACATCTCTATAAAAAATAAAGAAATTAGACGGGTGTGGTGGTGCACGCCTTTAGTCCCAGCTACTGGGGAGGTTGAGGTGAGAGGATCACTTGAGCCCAGGAGGCAGAGATTGCAGTGAGCAGAGATCATGCAACTGCACTTCAGCCTGGGCCACAAAGCAAGGCTCTCTCAAAAAAAAAAAAAGAAAAAGAAAAAGAAATGGAGAGGCCGGGCGCGGTGGCTCAAGCCTGTAATCCCAGCACTTTGGGAGGCCGAGACGGGCGGATCATGAGGTCAGGAGATCAAGACCATCCTGGCTAACACGGTGAAACCCCGTCTCTACTAAAAAATACAAAAAAAATAGCCGGGCGAAGTGGCGGGCGCCTGTAGTCCCAGCTACACGGGAGGCTGAGGCAGGAGAATGGCGTGAACCCGGGAGGCGGAGCTTGCAGTGAGCCGAGATCCGGCCACTGCACTCCCGCCCGGGCGACAGAGCAAGACTCCATCTCAAAAAAAAAAAAAAAAAAAAGAAATGGAGAATCAGAACACATGTTAAAGGAACAGCAAATGGTTCAGTTTTGATAGTATATAGGGTATGTGATTAGCAGTGACAAATATAAACAAAGATTGGCTGAGACTCAACAATGTTAAAGTCATTTCAAATGTGTTTTTCAGGATTCTATCCGCGTGGTCTTGGGAAACTTGGACAATCTTCAGCCCTTTGCTACAGAACACTTCATTGTATTTCCCTGTATCCTTTTTTTTTTTTTGAGATGGAGTCTTGCTCTGTTGCCCAGGCTGGAGTGCAATGGTGTGATCTTGGCACACTGCAACCTCAGCCTCCCAGGTTCAAGCGATTCTCCTGCCTCAGCCTCTCCAGTAGCTGGGATTACAGGTACGTGCCATCACGCCTGGCTAATTATGGTATTTTTAGTAGAGGCAGTGTTTCATCATGTTGGCCAGACTGGTCTTGAACTCCTGACCTCAGGTGATCCGCCCGCCTCCGCCTCCCAAAGTGCTGGGATTACAGCTGTGAGCCACTGCGCCCAGCCTATCCTTTCTTTTCTGGCTGGAAATGAGCTACGGCCCACATTTTAGACTCAAATGAAAGTAGCAAAACCATAGGCAGTTTGGAGGGTAGGTCAGGGGAAGGAGAGAGAGTTTCTCCCTAAAATAGTACTTAGGAATCCATACTGGCATCTTTCCTTACTCCTTAGCACTATTTTCCAGATAAAAGCAAATGGGAGAGAGTTTCCCACCTGAAATTCAAACATGGGGAAATTATCTTGATCCCCTACCCATTTGTTTTTACTCTATACGTGGAGATGAAATGGTTCCATGAAAACCTGTCACCTGGTAAGTGGAATGATGTGAATGTGAATGGCAGAGAAGAAAATGGTTTAGCAGTGCCAGCTGGATATGGTGAAATGCGCTACCAGATTGGGCTCCAGCCTTACAGTACACAGGTCAGGATCATGTGCTCCAGGCCAGATTGACTAGTTCAAATACTGGTGGCCCTGCCACTTAACAGCTGTGTGAAGTTAGATAAATTAATTTCTCTGTGCCTCCCTTGTGAAATTGTGAAGTATAATATTACTACCTATATCATTGAGTTGTTAAAAGGATTAAATAAATAATAGTAGATGAAAAGTACAAAGCCTGACTTAATCACTGAATGAAAGATAAGTATTATATAAACCCTTCCATTAGAGTAAATTCCATGATTTTCACTTTAGAGCTGTCTTAAAGGTATCTCTCAATTTTATTTTTATTTAGACAGAGTCTCACTCTGTTACCTAGGCTGGAGTATAGTGGTGTGATCGTAGTTCACCGTAACCTCTAACTCCTGGGCTCAAGTGTTCCTCCTCCCTCAGCTTCCCAAGTAGCTAGGACTGTGGGTGTGTACGACCATCTCCGGCTAATTTTTTTTTTTTTTAGTAGAGACAGGGTTTCACTATATTGCACCATCAGGTCTCAAACTCCTGGGCTCAAGCAATCCTCCCACCTCGGCCTCCCAAAACACTGGAATTACAGGCATGAACCACTGTGCCTGGCCCAAATTTTTATTCTCTGAAGGCCATGGGTATTTTTGCTGATTGAGGGACAAGTAAACACCTACCCTTTTGATTTGAAAAGGGGTGCAGGCTGGGCACAGTGGCTCATGCCTGTAATCCCAGTACTTTGGGAGGCCAAGGCAGGAGGATCACTTGAGGCCAGGAATTCAAGACCAGCCTGACCAACATGGTGAAACCCCATCTCTGCTAGAAATAAAAAAGTTAGCCAGGCATGGTGGTGCGTGCCTGTAATCCCAGCTATTCAGGAAGCTGAAGCAGAAGAATTGCTTGAACCCAGGAGGCAGAGATTGCAGTGAGCCAAGATCACGGCACTGTACTCCAGCCTGGGCGGCAGAACAAGACTCTGTCTGAAAAAAAGATGTGCATATATATATATATATATATATATATATATATATGATGTAGCCTGGCATGGTGGTGCATGCCTGTAGTCCCAGCTACTCTGGAGGCTGAGGAAGGAGAATTGCTTGAATCTGGCAGGCAGAGGTTCTGGTGAGCCAAGATCACACCACTGCACTCCCGCCTGGGCAACAGAGCTAGCTCTGTCTCAAAAAAGAAAAAAGAAAAGAAAAGGGGTGCAAAGGACTTGCCTCAAAATATCTCCCCTTTTCATTTGTCACAGGTAGCTGAAGTTCTACTTTTTTCTTTTGTAGTAAGAATCGTCCCCTCCCTTTTCAAACCCCTTCTAGCTTATAGATTATATTCATTCTGAAACAAGGGAGGAAGAGAGTTTGAAGACACTATTTTTAGGGAAAATGGTACCAGGTAGAAGGGAGAAGGGCACATGAGGAGTCTTTGTCTAGGGTCAGTTCCAAGAAATAAATAGTAGCCAGAAATCCAGGTAAAACAGCATCATGGTTAGGCCTGGTGGCTCACTTTGGGAGGCCAAGGCAGGTGGATCACCTGAGGTCAGGAGTTTGAGACCAGCCTGGCCAACGTGGTGAAACCCTCCTCTCTACTAAAAATGCAAAAATTAGCCAGGTGTGGTGGCACATGCCTGTAGTCCCAGCTACTTGGGAGGCTGACAGAGAAGAATCGCTTGAACTCAAGAGGCGGAGGTTGCAGTGAGCCAAGATCACACCACTGCACTCCAGTCTGGGCAACTTAATCTCTAAAAAAAAAAAAAAAAGTATTATTTTATTATGACACTCAAATTTCCTATTGTAGGGAAACCAGTAAGTGACAGTCCTCTTGGGTTGGTAAGTTTGCCTTTTCTGTACAAAATGAAAATTGCCTTTATCACCTTCTTTTGTCCAAAAAGTCCTGCTCTTGCCTCTTCTTCTTACTTTGCCCCTCGGTTGCTGCCCAGATCCAATCAGAATTGTAAACATAAGACAGTATTTTCCCCCTTGGCTAGATTTCTGAGACCACGTCTCTAACAGAATGTCTATTCTTACTTGCAAAGCTGGTGTTAAAAGTTGCCTTTGGCAGTTAAAGGATGGGGAGTTTTCTTCACTGTGCCTTCATGAACTGTGAGCAACTCTGGAAAGGAGGAGTCACAGGCATCTGCTTCCTCTCTGAAGGTCCCAGCTGAGAAGAAAGCAGTAGGAGCTGTGATGAGGAAACGAAAACACATGGACGAGCCCAGCTCCCCCAGCAGGCCAGGGCTGGACAGGTCAGTGGTGTGGGGAGAGAGTCTCGCTCCTTCATCCTAATTAGGCTTTGCCAGCTATTACCATTGGTTGATCCTGTCCTTGGGCGAGTCACTTTCTTTTTCAGGACTTCATCAGTATCTGCCTATTCCAGTGGGTGGACTAAGGAAAGGGAGCAAGTTAATATTTACAATATAATTTGAACATAGTCCCTTTTTCAGCAAAGTATGATTTTTCTTCTCAAGATGAAGGCTGAGAAGAAATACAGCCCGATCTAAACAATTGAATTCAGCACATTCAATAATACTTACTATGGTAGTATCACCAGAAGGCAAAAGACTTATGAAGTCTCAAAATATTATACAAAAACATAGGGAAACTCTTGAAATAATAAGAACAAATAAAATATAATTCTATTTTACCCAGTGAGCAGTTAGCTTTTGGAACCTTAAGAGGCAGTCCAGACTAAAATGTAAATGTTTGCAAGAGGGTATATATCAATCATTGGGTGGGGTACTGTGATATTAGGGGGAATGTTGAGCCATCCCTAACATATTGTTACTGTGGAGGCTACTTATGTTCTTCTTTCAGTTCTCTATCAGCTACAAAATGAGTCAGTAAGACAATTCAGTCGTTCTTATTAGCACCCTAGAAAGCTAATAAGAATGCTGCTGGAATAATCCAAGGTGTGGTTTGTTTCGTAGCCCAAGATGCTTCCACCCTAGGCCCACAGAGAACAGCTACCCTTTTCCTGGGACACTGTGGATCCCTAGACATATAGGAGAAGTCAGGGAGACTAGGAAGCTGACCCCATGCTCTCCAGATGCACATGTAGATGAAGAGATAGGGAGCTCCTTTTCAAGCCAGGTGGAGTGTGAGGATACTTGGAGGTATGAAGCTTTGTTGTGTTCCATTCGACTGAATTTTCCATGTAAGTGAGGTCTCAGATCTTCCCTTTCTCTAGGTTTTGATGCACAATCAAGTATTTCAAAATCCGATACCTGCTGTCAGTCACATTTTCACTTTCTCAAACCCCAGATCCCTAAGTGTCTCAAACTGGGATTCTGCTGTGAAGTAAAGCAGCACCCAAAGAAAATTTGGCCACCCAATTTATTCTGCCGGCCAGGAGTGGTATAAAAATAGCCAACCTGCTGAAATATTCATTTGGGCCACATTTGCTTGAATGTAGTGATATTGCCTCTGCCAGTAACATTCCCTGCATATTTTCCCCCCACCTCAGGGCCAAGATAGGGACTTCCAGCCAAGGCTCCAGCAAAAAGAAGCCCCCTATGGAAACCAGGAGAGTAAGTACTGAAATGGAGGCTTAGAGGCTGTCAGCTATTCCTGTTCTGTTACAAGTCGGGATTCTGGTTACCAGCACATCTTGGTTTTTCGTGCAGATTGAATTGACTGAACTCATTCTTGGGTTTCACCATCTGCAGAATAACATTCAACTATTATGCCCTTGCCACAGCACATCCCAAAGTGGCTGCATAATACACGCATCGATTAATCTTTTTGTTAAAAAGTCCTCTCTTTGCCTGGTACGGTGGCTCATGCCTGTAATCCCAGCACTTTGGGAGGCTAAGGCGGGCGAATCACCTGAAGTCAGGAGTTCGAGACCAGGCTGGCCAACCTGGTGAGACCCAGTCTCTATTAAAAATACAAAATATTAGCCAAGTGTGGTGGTGAACGCCTGTAATCCCAGCTACTTGGGAGGCTGAGGCAGGAGAATCACTTGAACCCAGGAGGCGGAGGTTGCAGTGAGCCAAGGTCGTGCCACTTCACTCCAGCCTGGGCAACAGAGTGAGACTCCATCTCAAAAAAAAAAAAAAAAAAAAAGGCCAGGCACGGTGGCTGATGCCTGTAATCCTAGCACTTTGGGAGGCCGAGGCCAGTGGATCACGAGGTCAGGAGATCGAGACCATCCTGGCTAACATGGTGAAACCCTGTCTCTACTAAAAAAAAATACAGAACATTAGCCAGGCGTGGTGGCAGGTGCCTGTAGTCCCAGTTGCCGGGGAGGCTGAGGCAGGAGAATGGCGTGAACCCGGGAGGCAGAGCTGGCAGTGAGCCGAGATTGCACCACTGCACTGTAGCCTGGGTGACAGAGCGAGACTTTGTCTCATAAAAAAAAAAAAAAAAAAAATCCTCTCTTTTCAGCTTAAAAAGCTACTTGTACTCTGCAGTTGAAATAAGAAAATATGTCTATATAGGATTGAGGTGGAATCCAGTATAGAATTTTCCCTTTAGGAAACTTTTCGCCTTCATCTACACTGGGGTCTGAGTCTAGGAACATCTAGTTTTAACAAATGAGCTAGGCATGTATCAGCACTGATAACTGGTAAGAGAAAACTTCTAGAGCAGTGAAGGGTTGGCCCCTGATGGAATTAGATTTCATTTATGGGGTATGTTTCCCATTTAGATATTCATATATCTGGTACCCCTCCTCCATTTTAGGACTTCTTTTCTATATATTCTCTAAAATAGTGACCTTTTTCTTTTCCTCCCCTCTTTAAATAGCTGTTAGCTGGTATCCATGCCTTAAAGATCCTTCCTTTTTTTCTCTATGTCTCCAAAGTTGCTCTGACCCTAAGTAACCAAACACAAACAACTCACTTTCTTCACCTTCCCAGGACCCATAACATGAGCAGTTATCGAGTAAACATTTACATATGCATTCATTCAACAAATTTTTTTTTTTCTTTTTTGAGACAGGGTCACACTCTGTTGCCCAGGCTGGAGTGCAGTGGTGCAATCTCGGCTCACTGCAACCTCTACCTCCCAGGCTCAAGCGATCCTCTCATTTCAGCCTCTGGAGTAGCTAGGACTACTGGCATGTGTCACCACACCTGACTAATTTTTGTATTTTTTGTAGAGATGGAGTTTTGCCATGTTGCCCAGGATGCATTCAACAAATTTTCTTTGAGTGTCTACTATGTGCCAAGTACCAGGGATACACCAGCAGTGTACAGCTAGGTAGACAATTACTGATAGATGTGCCATGTGCAGGTGTAGAAGGAAGCACAGGATACAAAGGGAGCATAAAGTGGCCAGGAGGGAAGGATTCCCAGAGTAGCTTGAAGTCCAGTGCTGAGAAATGTTACTGGAAAAGTCAGAATGGACTGGATCATGAAAAGCCTTGAGACTACCTTCAAGATCACAGGACTTCTCTAAAACATTTTTAAGTAGAAAAATTAAGTTATTTTCATTTCTAAGGGATTGTTCTGTCTCCTACTCACAAGGCATTGTGTTGGGTGCTGGGGCATACACAAACATATGTAAACCCTGATTTCTTTTTTCTAGGAGCTTGTAATTTAGTTGGGGAAGGAGTGTATCTTTGGGGATTTATACCTCTGCCTCTGTGTGCGAGGGCAGAGTCCAGGGCCCCAGTTGTGCTGTGGCCAGCTGGCCCACTGAGTGATTTTGGGCAGATGGTCAACCCCTTCTATGCCTCCCATCCTTTAGGATGGTAAGAAAAAGAAATGAGAAAGTACATGAGGAGTACTTGAAGCTCTGGAGAACAAAAACACTTTATACAACCAAGATAATTACTATTAAAGGAACATTTTCCTCGCTCTCTAACTTCGTATCTTCCTATTCTTAGTTTGACACATCATCTCCCTCAAGAACAGTACCCACAGCTTCTTACTCAACATAATTACCTTTTCAACCTGATTCTGGATTTAGAAAAAACTCTAGTAAAAGGAACATGTTTATTGATTTTGACTCAAGGCCCATCATGGACCCTGTTCCCAGGAAGATGATTTCTCCTAAATTAAAGTGATCACAGTGACTCTCAGTATAAGTCACTTGAGCTGGAAAAATTGAATTTGCTCCTATGGTCCATTGCTTAATATGTTCTGCCCCCTTTGCAGGGAGTTATGGTGTAGAATCACAGTCACTGTGCATGTGCGTGTCTGAACACATTGGGAGCCTGTGTGGGGAAAGCTTAGAAGAATACAACACGTACCTCTGTTTCATAAGAAGTGTTTAGGGAGAATGGGAAGGAAGAGCAGAACCCCCTTGCCTTTGTTACTTCAGGTCCCAGATCTAGAGATCCAGACTTTGGAAGGATGAAAAAATGGGAGGGAGCAGATGAATGACCCAGAAATGAAACAGACTAACTGCACGTCGCATTTTGTTGTTGTTGTTGTTTTCCTATATCTGCTTGAACTGCACTTCTAAACAGATCTGGCCCTGAACATGCAGAGGACAGTCTTGCATCAGGTTTTCAGAGTATTATGTTCTGATGGAGGTCCCAGATGATACCTTCAGTCTGAATTCCAGCTATAATGTTTTTCCTCCCTTATGACTTTTTCTTGAGAAGACATCTCTCAAGATTTTGGGAGATCACAAAAAGGCTACACTGTCTTATGAGGGGACTCTTCCCTGGTTCAGAGGTAGGCTGTACCTCTGTCCCAGGGCCTTTGCCCTCTTGTTCCTCCTACCACCCTTAATAGATGCTTTCATTAGGGCTACTGTATGCAGCAGGATTAAAGCCCCAAACCATAGTTTCATTAAATTTGTAAGAATCATTCCCCTCAAGCCAGAAACCAGAGCTTGGCCCTCTAAATTCCATCTCCACCGTCTATAGAAAAGGTAAGAATGGTCTCCTTCCTCCCCAGAGTTCCCTGTCGCTTTTATAGGAATATGACTTAGGTAGCTGCCCATGTGGTCTGGGATTTGAGCGGTTTGTGAAGAGGCTCAGTTCAGAGATAGCTGCCATTCTAACCCGAAGTTTCTTCTTAGGATGGGGGCTAGTCCTAGCTTTTCTAGAGACTTGCCATGCCTCTGCCTCCCAGAACCTACCTTTATAGTCTGCAGCCCCTTGCTCTAGAACTCTTAGCCATGGGAGCTAAGCTATGAGAACGCAAAGGCTTAAGAATGATACAATGGGCTTTGGGGGCTTGGGGGAAAGAGTGGAAAGGGGGTGAGGGATAAAAGACTATACGTTGGGTATAGTGTACACTACTTGGGTGATGGGTGCACCAAAATCTCAGAAATCATCACTAAAAAAAACTATTCATGTAACCAGACACCACCTGCTCCCCAAAAACCTATTGAAATAAAAAATAAATTTTAAAAAATGGGAAAAAAATTCACAGAACTGCACACCCAAAAGAAAGAAAAAAAGAACTCTTCACCAGCAAAACAGCTTGAGGAGCTCCATCATTGCTGGGTAAAGCCCCTAGGTTCAGACTGGATGAAGAGAGTAGTAGCCAGTGGCAGAGATTCCCAAAGAAAATATAATAACCATATTTCTGATTATCAGGGTATTTACTGGAAAATGTTGTGGGCCTGGAATCAGGTTGTAAAATGTCCTCTTCAGAGTACAAAGAAATTTATATAAAGGAACAGCACATGGAGAAATAATAAGATTGTATTATATTATGCTAGCTGCTAATGCCACAGTCATGTTTCTACCATGCCTGGCTCTAGCCATGCTGATCCTATTTATTCTTTAATGGCACTGTGCCCTCATACATCATGTCCCTGTCTGGAATGCCCTGCTGTGACTGACCATCCCCTCACCCCCGTTATGACAACATCCCACTCATCCATCCATCCATCCGTGAAGGCTCCATTCAAATATCACTTCCCCTGTGAAGCCTTCCTTGACTAACGTCACCTGCTCCATTAATGTCCTTTCAGCAACCACAGCACTCTATACGGATTCGTTGGTCTTATCACACTCTTTTTTTTTTTTTTCCCGAGACAGAGTCTTGCTTTGTCTCCCAGGCTGGAGTGCAATGGCGTGACCTTGGCTCACTCTGCCTCCTGGGTTCAAGTGATTCTCCTGCCTCAGCCTCCTGAGTAGCTGAGATTAAAGGTGCCCACCACCACGCCTGGCTGATTTTTTCTATTTTTAGTAGAGACAGGGTTTCACCATGTTGGCCAGGCTGGTCTCGAACTGCTGACCTCGGATGATCCATCCGTCTCGGCCTCCCAAATTGCTGCGATTACACAGGTATGAGTCACCATGCCCGGCCATCATACTGTCTTGACTTAGTTTATGTCCATTTGCTCCATAGAGTATACATTTCTCCAAGGTAAATTTGAGGTCCTCCTGATTTCTGAAACTTCATGTTACTGAGTAGGCACTCAGTAACTTGGGATGATAAGTTAAACCCACCTTGATTTATTCTTGGCTCTTAAATCTTACGGTTTTAGAGGGACAATAGTTAGGATGTTGAAATGAAAAAAGGAAAGTCCTGGCCGGGCGCGGTGGCTCACGCCTATAATTCCAGCACTTTGGGAGGCTGAGGTGGGCAAATCATGAGGTCAGGAGATCAAGACCATCCTGGCTAACATGGTGAAACCACGTCTCTACTAAAAATACAAAAAATTAGCCGGGCGCGGTGGCGGGCGCCTGTAGTCCCAGCTACTAGGGAGGCTGAGGCAGGAGAATGGCGTGAACCCAGGAGGCAGAGCTTGCAGTGAGCCGAGATGGCGCCACTGCACTGCAGCCTGGCAACAGAGCAAGATTCAGTCTCAAAAAGAAAAAGAAAAGGCCGGGCGCGGTGGCTCAAGCCTGTAATCCCAGCACTTTGGGAGGCCGAGACGGGCGGATCACGAGGTCAGGAGATCGAGACCATCCTGGCGAACACGGTGAAACCCCGTCTCTACTAAAAAATACAAAAAACTAGCTGGGCGAGGTGGCGGGCGCCTGTAGTCCCAGCTACTCGGGAGGCTGAGGCAGGAGAATGGCGTAAATCCGGGAGGCGGAGCTTGCAGTGAGCTGAGATCCGGCCACTGCACTCCAGCCTGGGCCACAGAGCAAGACTCTGCCTCAAAAAAAAAAGAAAAAGAAAAAGAAAAAAGGACAGTCCTATGGAAAGAAATGGAAAGAAATACAGAACCTATCTAGGCAGTCAGAAGCCAGGCCCTAGTGCTAATGTGAAATCAGTTCACCAGCAAATAGCATTCAGATTGCCATGCAGTGTAGGAGTAAAGTTTAAGACTTTTCTTGGTGTTCTTTTAAACAGAACAGGGAAAGAAAAACCCAACAAGGATTGCAGGAGACTCTGGCCTCTGATATCACTGGTGTCCAGAAACAAGGTAGGTCCTGGGAAATTTCCATTTATTCTGCTTTAATAATCACCCTTTCCCTTGTAGTTCTCTGATACATAGAGCAGCACAGAGCTGAGTCTGGGTGCCCTCAGTGGGTAATGTGCCTTGCTCCCGTGGAGGTGCTTGTTAACCAAACTCTGGTCTGGGGGCCTGTCCTAGAGTAATAGAAGCCCCCCAGCTCCCAGAAATAGTGAAGGGAGGCAGTGCATGCCCTTCCTCTGCTTCTGATAGTGAAGTTATGCTCTGACCATTTCAAAACATTTCCAAGTGAGGTGATAAACTTTATAGAAATGTTGAGAGGGATGTGTTTCCCTTTTCTGTACTGTTGGAGAATGATCTCTTCCCTTTGGGGCATTAGAGTTAATATTGGAGTTGCAAATGGATGCTTTGCAAGGGCTGGGAATGCATGTCAAGCTATTGCCCTCCCTACTTGCTCATCTTTTACCCAGCATGAGGATTCAATGTGGACTGCAGTTATCACAGAAACAGGGATGTAGGCAAGTGAGTCCTTCAACAACTTGTCATTTTATGTGAAGACATAGCAGCTGAGTGCATGGCTGGAACTTGAGCTGTGTAAATATCCCAGGAGCTTGACTGAAAATACTCTGAGGTCAGAATAGCATCTTACTGAGCTGAGATGAAATTGGGAAGGTCAGAACAAACAATTCACCTGGCTTTAAGGAACTCTTGGTGTGAGACTGCCTCTGGCTCATACTCGGTGTTTTGCCTTCTACTCACATGAAAACGGCCCATGGACAAACATCTTGCTCCTGCCTGATTGTTTTCCTTACAGATTCTGAGTGGGGGCACAGCCTGCCAGGGCCAGTTGTCCTACCCCTGCAGCACAACTCACCTCCACCTAAGGAGCGAGCAGCCAGCGGCTTCGTTGGGTTTCTAAGGTAAGACAGCTTCTATCTGGCCATGAGACTCGAGATCCAGCTCAGAGCAGCTCATTGAGTCTTTCAGGGAAAATAGAATAGAAAAGAAAGCAGATTACTCACAGAGGCTTCTCACTTATGTCTAAGATAGACAATGGAAATGAGATTGAGAACAAAAGCCCTAATTGTGCATTTAATAAAGACTGTGTTTTACTTATTTTTACACAACCCACCTCCACCCTGATGTGTCCAGGATAAAGCCAAGCTCCATAAACAGTAACTTGGGCCACGCGTGGTGGCTCATGCCTATAATCCCAGTACCTTGGGAGGCCAAGGTGGGCGGATCACTTGAGGTCGGGAGTTCAAGACCAGCCTGGCCAACATGGTGAAACCCCGTTTCTACTAAAAATACAAAATTAGGCAGGCATGGTGGCACGTGCCTGTAATCCCAGCTACTTGGGAGGGAGGCTGAGGCAGGAGAATTGCTTGAACCTGAGAGGTAGACGTTGCAGTGAGCCGAGATTAAAAAAAATAAAATAAGATAAAATTAGCCGGGTGAGATGGCACGTTCCTATAATCCCAGCTACTAGGGGGTGCTGAGGCAGGAGAGTTGCTTTAACCCGGGAGGTGGAGCTTGCAGTGAGCCGAGATCGTGCCACTGCACTCCAGCCTGGGTGACAGAGCGAGACTCCGTCTCAAAATAAACAAACAAAAACACTAATTTGAACAAAGTCTATTCTTAGTTTACTTGAGCCATTCAGATGATTTGGTTACAAAATATTTCCATTCTCCCCTCTGAATCTAGGTTGTGTTTGCAGAGGACAGTTAGCAAATGTCTCTCTCTCTCTCTCTGCCATCCCATTGCAATTCTTTTGTTTTATTCCCCCTCCTGAGTATAATCTAATTTGGGTACCTTTTCAAATGCTATTCCAGTCTTGAATTTCCATTCAATGGTTCCCCAGAGCAAAAATGCCCTAGCTAGTGAAGCACTAATGGGAAATGGGGAGAAGGGAAGGAGACCACATAGAGCCTCAGCCTACTCTGTTCTCATTCTTGCAGCTCTCTCTTCCCGTTTCGATATTTCTTCAGGAAGAGCAGCCACTCTTGAGCCTTCCAAATGCAGCGCTGGAAAGAGGATCATCTCTTGCAGTGACTCCTCCCGAATCATTCTTCCTCCAACTCTTTCCTTTTCTTATGACACTTCAGTCATGGAGAATGAGGTCCCCATGCTGAGTCCTCTGTGGTTTTATCCTGTCCTTTGCCCCTTTATATATATTTTTTTCCGATTTAAAACATTAAGAATGGAACTTTCTAAAATGTTCATGTCTGGAGGGCCCGTTTAGGCCTTTTGTCTTCAGCACTTAGGATCCTAATGATAATAAATTATTTATGAAGAGTTATTGATTGAATTTAGTGGAATAGAGTAAGAGAGAACAAATTCTTCCCTCAAGATAGAGAGAAAATGCATGAAACTTCCCTAGGTCTACCTGGTTACTGTTCACAGGATCACTTTGGATAGGTGACTCTGTGCCAGAGGTTAGGGAATGGGGTCTTTCAAGACTCACTGTCCTGAGCCCTGCTCACCCAAGAGACCTCTTCCCCAGTTCCAGTTTGGCCCCAAACGGTAGCCTCTCCATAGACAAAATGTTTCCCACCTCTCTATCCCTCTGTTTGACAGTAATGCAGATTCGTTTATCAGATTAACTGGAAGTCAATCCAGGTTGGCACCCCTGGAGAAAGCCTGGGCACCTGAGCTGCCTTCTACTGAAGGACTGATCTGTAACAGACACTTTAGCCTTGTGTGGCCGTGGAGAACCAAAATGATCTATGGAAATGTATGGAAACTCATTTTAGCTCACAACAAAGGAGTCACTTTTTACTTGTTAGAGATGTCCAATATTAGAATGGGCTACCTCATAAGGTAATGAGCCTTGTCACCCAAATGCTTTATACAGAAGTCATCATCTGTCACATGCCAGAGGGTGCCCCTCATGAGTGGGAGAGTAGGGGCTGAACTGCTGAGTTCCCGCTGCATCCTGTTGCTATGCTGCCTGCATCCTTGGCGGGGAGAAGAGAAGAGATGGACTGCTGCGGAGGACCTGGCAATCGAGGACCCAGGACTTGAGGGGATGGGGGCTGATGGGGAAACCGTAGGGTGTGGGAATTTAAGGATTAGTGACATTAGTAACATCAATTCCTCTCAAATTGTGTTTACAGCCTTTACTGGACTGTCCCAAGCATGGCCTGCTTTACAAAGCTGCTAAGAAGCACAGCTGAGTGCCCACCCTGACTCTGACTAGCTTACAGTGAAGCTTTGGGAAGTTGTTTTCCGCTGAGCTCTTATTTTCTCATCCAGAAAATGAGGGGGTAGGATTTGGTGAGTTATAAAGTGCCTTCTAGCTCTGGCAGTCTGTGACTGGCCCTGCTCTTTCTGAGCAGGTCAGTGAGGCAATGACCCCGAAGTGGGCTGCCCAGAATCACCACAGGCTTCCTTTGGCTCCCCACCCTGCCCCAACCCCTCTGGCCACTGCTGCCTAGGGGTCTTTCTCCAACTTGCCATATTCTTGCTCAAATGTAGTTTAGCACCATGGATGGACAGCAGATTTGAATTTGAAATCAGCCCTGACATTACCCAGCTGGGTGACTTTTAGTAACTTTCCTTCCTTGAGCCTTAGTTGCCTCATCTATAAAACCAGAGCTGGACAAATCGATCAGCTTTGCTGGGGTTGATGACTTGAGGCCCTTTCAGGAGTCAGGTCCCTGTTATTCCAGGGCTAGGGAAGCACTCCAGCTCAGAATGTCACTCTGTAGCACAGGATGAGAATCACCCACTGACACCGTGGCCATGCAGCTCTGAAACAGACGGCAGCCCAACCCCTGGCCCTGCCACCAAGCACATCTCAGGAGACCTCCACTGGTATAATTTCCCTTGGCCCTAAGAATCTCCTTCCCCAGTCCCTTTCCTCTGCGTTAGAAAAAGGCAAGCAGGGCTGAGTTTAGTGGTTTTAAAATTAGGGGTGTGGCCAGGCACAGTGTTTCATGCCTGTAATTCCAGCCCTTTGGGAGGCCTAGGCAGGCGCATCACTTGAGCTTAGCAGTTCAAGACCACCGTGGGCAACATGGTAAAATCCCATCTCTACAAAAAAATACAAAAGTTAGCTGGTCCTAGTGGTGCACTTGTGGTCTCAGCTACTCCGAAGGCTAAGGGGGAGGATGGCTTGAGCCTGGGAGGCTGGGAGGTGGAGGTTGCAGTGAGCCGAGATAACACCACCACACTCCAGCCTGGGTGACAGAGCCAGACCCTCTCAAAATAATAGTAATAAATAATAATAAAGTTAGGAGTGATCAGGCCCTGAACAGGGAAGTGTTCTGTCCAAGGTCACAGAGCAAAGAGAACCCAGGTGCCCACAACTCAGCCAAGAGTCTTGACCCCTCTGTCGTCAACTGCACACACGCTGCACATTCTACCAGCTCCTAGGCTTCTCTCCACATCTGACTTCTCCAGGCCTGGACTGTGGGTAGCTTTTTGGACGGAAAGAAGCAGAAAGCAGCAGGAGCTGCTCTCCGAGGACCACACCTCAAAGAGCAAGATCCCCAGGTGGGATCGCTCTGAGGCTTCAGGCAGGGGAGGCTGGCTTGAAAGCCGATCTCCAAGAGGGCGTGGCTCCAAAATGCTGGCAAATAAAGCCTGGAGAGCCAGCAACAGTCTGGAGACCAGCAGGAGGGACAGGAAAACTGCAAGCCGCTCTGTTCCTGGGCCTAGGAAGTGGTGAGCTCGCTGAGGCAGGAGGCGCTCTGGGGAGGGTCTGGGAATGTGGACAAGGGCCCTGCAGGCCAAGATGGGGCAGGTGGAGGGAGGAAGATGTTTGCGCTCCAGTTGGCGAAGGAAATTCCAGGGAAGGGAGAATCACTGCACAGAGGGCTGACACACAGGTCCTTTCCAGAGACAGCTGCTCACACTCACACCCATACACACACACAGAAAGGCAGATACAGGGAAAAGGCAGCACCACTCAGGCACACCACCTATCAGACCAGCCAGCCCTGGCTCACTCACCTGGAATGCAGTATTTAAAGAACTCACCATCCCACCTGCACACCCACATAGAGACATCTCCCCACTGTGTTTCAGATGCTCATGGCGTCCCCTCAAACCCTGGTTCTCTGTCTGCTGGTCCTGGCAGTCACTGAAGCCTGCGGCCAGGAGGCAGTCATCCCAGGCTGCCACTTGCACCGTGAGTACCTCTGGCAGCAGACAGCTAGGAGGAGTGGAGGTTCTGGGTGGGAGCATAGAGCTGATAGAGTGGACAGTGGGGCAAGCAGCACCCTAGAGGGCCCCACACTGAGGCACAGGCAACAGGAGCTGGGGCGAGGCAAACCTTGGCAGAGGCACCGTCTACTGCTTGCCTGTCTCCCTCTAGCCTTCAATGTGACAGTGCGAAGTGACCGCCAAGGCACCTGCCAGGGCTCCCACATGGCACAGGCCTGTGTGGGTCACTGTGAGTCCAGCGCCTTCCCTTCTCGGTACTCTGTGCTGGTGGCCAGTGGCTACCGACACAACATCACCTCCGTCTCTCAGTGCTGCACCATCAGTGGTCTGAAGAAGGTGAGGAGGGCCCGAGCCCGATCGATGGACGTTGGGGTTGGGGGAAGACTCGGGAGATGGAGATATAAGACAGCCCTGAGAAAGGGGACTGCAGCACGGACTCCCCTCTCCTGCAGGTCAGAGTACAGCTGCAGTGTGTGGGGAGCCGGAGGGAGGAGCTCGAGATCTTCACTGCCCGGGCCTGCCAGTGTGACATGTGTCGCCTCTCTCGCTACTAGCCCATCCTCTCCCCTCCTTCCTCCCCTGGGTCACAGGACTTGACATTCTGGTGGGGGAAACCTGTGTTCGAGCTTCAAAAACTGGAAGGCGCTCCAACCCTGCTGGTTACTTGCTATGGAATTTTTTTAAATAAGGGAGGGTTGTTCCAGCTTTGACCCTTTGTAAGATTTCGTGACTGTCACCTGAGAAGAGGGGAGTTTCTGCTTTCTTCCCTGCCTTTGCCTGGCCCTTCTAAACCGATCTTTATCATTTTACTTCCCTCTTTGCCCTTACCCCTAAATAAAGCAAGCAGTTCTTGAGTTTCTCTCTTTATTAAGTCTACCCACAGCCAGGGAAAGAGGGGTAGACCATGATTACTGTGACCCCCCCTTACCCCAGGACACTGTGAATCTCTTCTTGCCTGTGCCCTCACCCTCCCCCTGCCCAATAAATAAAAAGGGGACAAGGAAGTACACAGCAAGGGAGGGGAGGAGTGTGCACCCAGGACAGTGTCTGTGTAGAGGGTGAGCTGGGCGAGAATAAATAAGACCATGGACCCCATGGTGGGGATGAGGAAGGACCTCACGCTGGCCGAGGCAGGGGCAGGCGAGGCGCTGAGTGCCCTTGCCCAAGGCCAGGAGCAGAGGGTGGGAGCCCGCCTGCAGCCCGGAGCCCAGCTTTGCGGGGCGGGGGAAGATCCCTGATGGCAGCTTCCTGGTCAAGCTTGCCCTTGTCAAGTCCTGCCGCGAGGGGCTGAGCATTCTGTTGCCAAGACCACCATTGCCTCTCCTCGTCTCCCCCCAGTGAAAGCTGGGCTGGGCAGGGAGTCCTCAGAAGCCACTCTGGCAAGGCCAGGGGTAGGTGTGTTTCTCTCTGGGCCCCTGGACAGGAGAAGGGATAGAGGGACTGACAGCTCTGGGTTTAGCTTGTCCCCTTCTGAGGTGCTGTCTAGCTCTGACCCCCACTGGTGGCCACCTGGGGTGTAAGCCGCTGGAGAGGGGCCTCCTTGGCCCCCTGGGTCCCCTGTAGCCGGCGTAGCCGCAGCTCCTCCAGACCTTGCCATAACTCCTGACGCTCCTGGGCCTTCTGCTGCTCCCTGGGGAGAGACAGTGAGGCAGCTCCCTTTCCTGGGGCCCCCCACAGTCCAGACTCCCTCACTACCACCCCAGCGGCAAAGGGAAGGCATGGAACCATTTTTGTTCTGTGACTCCATAAAAACCCTCTGCTGAGGGAAGAGAGCAGAAGAGAGACAGATCCCAGCCTGCAGTCACGGAGAAGACGATGAGTGGGGCTCTGAGTGGTTCTGGCTTCTGTAGGAAGCTACAGGGATTCAGAACAAGTCCGAGCTACTCGAAGAATGACGGGAGGACACAGGGGCAGACAGGCATAGGATGGCAGGAGCACGCAGAGTCTTGCACGTCTGATCAGATAGGGTTCGGGGTGGTCCTCAGGTTCCCTCCAGTCATGGGGGTCTGATTCCTCCCTGCTCTTCTCCCTTCCCCCACGCCCAGCCCCCAACACTCACTGCTGCTTTTCCAGCTTGTAGGAGGCCGTGAGCTCATCAAACAGCTTCCCATTCATCTCCATGAAGGTCTTGAGCACATTGTAGATCAGCGATACGATGGTTCTTGGCAGGGTCAAGGAGGGACGAGGAGATGAAACAGCTTTGGTTTGCCCACCTCTCCCTTTCCCTGCCCTTCACATGCAGCATTCCACCCTGAACACAAGCACTGCCCACTTCCCTGTCCTTTTCACCACCCCTGGGCCATCTTTCGACGCTTTCTCTGATACTCTCCAGCTAGGAGTAACCCTGGGGTCTGGACTGGCTGGCCCTGGTCCCAGTTTCTGTGAGTTAGGTCACGGCCTGGCACTCACTGGTTCCAGTGCTCCTTGGACACTTGGTAGAGGGTCCCAAACACAGCAGGCAGCACAGTGTGGCAGTTGTCCTCAATGAGGCTTAGGATATACTCATTGTTCCAGAAATACAGAGCCCGCTCTGCAACCTGGGGCAGACAAGATGGCAGAGTGAGTGACTGGCAGTGGCTTCTCTCTGTGTGCAAGGTCTGGTGTCCATCACTACCTCAATGCCCAGGCCCCCTGACCTTCACACACCCCACCTTCAAGGCTCATCTGAGCCCTGGAGGAAGCAACAGTGTTGAAGGGAAAAGAGCATTAGATATGGAATCCAATGCTGCGGGGGAATCCTAACCACTACAGACTCTACTACGCCACGTGACCTTGGGAGACGCATTTAACCTCCCAGCCTCAGTTTTCTCATCTGTAAAATGGGCTAATAATACCTATGTCCACAGGATGTTATAAGAATCCAATGAGATACTAGACTTTTAGGTGTTTAATGAACCGAAGGGCCAGAATCACTGTGAGGAAGACTTGACTTCCACTGGGTTATGACCCATAAGAACGAGAGGAAGTCTGCACGTGCCTGCAGCAGAACATGAGTTAGAGTTATCTGGGATGACATGGGGAAGCCTGGCTGCATCCCAAAGCGAGTCTAATGAAATCTAAGGCCACTAGCAAAAGGGGAAAAGTGATAACAGTCCTCCATCCCATTCTGGAGCACACTTCAGTTTACCAAACATGTTTACACTCACAATCTCTTCCATCCTCATCCCCACCCTGTGAAGAGGTTGTTGGCCCATTTTACAGCTGCAGAAGCTTAATCAGAATCAGAGTGGTGCAGTGATTTGCTCAAGGCCCCTCAGCCAGTGGAAGGCAGGTCAGAGGCTTCACCCTAGGTCTCCTGACCCTAAGTCCGGCATCTCCCCATTACCAGACCCGGGATTGGAGGAGAAACTGAGGGCAAAGGGAACTGTATTAGGTCAGCTACCCAACCTTTCCAGGCCAGCCCTGCTCCCGTCCCCGCCTGTCCTGCCTCATACCTGGAAATGGGGGCTGGAAACACAGCGAGCCACCTGCTTAAAAAGGGGCTCCTGGATCTTCACAAACTGGGAGGGCTCGATGACATCAAGAATCTCTTCCATCTCCCCCAGAAACATCACCTGGGTGGGGTGGGGAGGGGAGTAGGGACAGAGGGGCAGCAGCTCACATCTCCCCCTACACATACACACACCTGACTGCCTTCTAGAGGCCGAGCCCTCCCAGCCTCCCTCTGGTGGCATCAAAGCCCTTCTTCATACCTCCTTCTGGGTGCAGGTTTTTGGCCAGTATTTGAGCAGCCCCCGGATCACCTGTGGGAGGTAAGACAGAGAGGAGTCACGCCTGCGGAGACGAGAGGCTGCCTTAGCCCCCAGAGGTACTCACGTGCTCCGTCAGAGTGGCATCCTTCTCCAGGAACTGCACCACACAGTATGCCAGCTGCAAGGGGGCAGAGGTGGAGAGAAGGAAGATGGGTCAGGAAGGCATCAGGTGCCAAGACTTGCTGCCCAGGACAGAATGCCAGACACTGCTCCCCCACGGCCTGTTACTTTCTTATTCACCAAGCATTTATCACCTGTCTAGGATGTACCAGGCATCACACTCAGTGTGCTGGGAATACAACTATGATCTCACGGGGAGGGGGGACGGTCAACAAACTCATCTTTATAAATTTTGCAAAAGGTTCCATAATATGGCTAGTGTGGTGGCTCACGCCTGTAGCCCAAGCACTTTGGGAGGCTGAGGCGGCAGAATCACTTGAGCCCAGGAGTTTGAGACCAGCCTAGGTAACATAGCAAGACACTGTCTCTACAAAAAAATTTTTTTTTTTGATTAGCCAGGCATGTGGCATACATCTGTGGTCCCAGCTACTCGGGAGGCTGAGGAGGGAGGACTGCTTGAGCCCAGGAGGTAGAGGCTTCAGTGAGCCATGTTCGTACCAATCCTCTCCAGCCTAGGCAACAGAGTAGGGTTTTGTCTCAAAAAAACAATTTGTGTATCAAAATCTCCCATAATAGATTTGTGTATCCAAATCTTTGGGAATATAGAGGGAGGAGAATTTCATTCTGCCAAGGGAGGACAGAGAAGAAAAGCCTGGCCTCACAGAGCTGATATCTGAGGTTAGCCTTAAAGCGCCAGTGGGAATTCTCTAAGGTAGATGGAACAGAATTATAAAAACAAAAATGGTGAGATAGGATCCCTGGAGGATCTGACCTCCAGGACCCACTGGCAACCCTGACTGTCTGGAGCCCCTGCTGCAGCGGGGCCAGGCCTGGGCCTTACCTGGGCGTGAAAGACAGACAGCGACTTGACAGAGTGCAGGGGGATCAGGACGCGAACTAGGAACTGCTTGTGCTCCGTCTTCAGGGGCAGCGCAAAGCCATTGATGATGCTGAGGAGGAGGCAGAAGAGAGGAAGAGGGCTCGGGTGAACTGGCCCCAGTCCCTCCTTCCAGAATCCGGAGCTCCAATTGAGGCCCAGGGAGAATCACCTTCCTAGGATCTCCAGCAGCTCAGCCACACCATTGAAGTGCTCGAACTCATAGATGAACCTGCAAGAGAAGAACGCAGGCGGGCTCAAAGCAAGCAGGGTAGGCCCAGTGCCCCCTTAGGCATCCTGCCTGCCCACCCTCACCCGCACAGCATGCTCATCCAACTCCCCCCAACCCAGAGGCCATGCTCCCTTCCCAACATCCCAAACCAGGCCCCATTGAGATCCCCGCCCCCCACACTGAAATGCCCTTCTCAGCCCAGCCACCTCTGCCACTGAGTCCCAAGCTCTTGCCAGTCAACCAAGAGAATGACAAACACTTGGCACATCTACTCTGTGCCACATAAGTCTCCAAATTATCCAGGGAGATGGGGGTTATGAAATCCATCACACGGATGAAGAAACCAAGACTCGGCGGTTAAATGAAACAACCCTCAGGGAATCTAATGGACTTCAAGGTACCGGAGGACAGGGATCATGGCTCACCCATTTTGTAGCTAAAAACAGTAACAACTAATGTTTCAGAGTCCCAGCCTCAGTCCAGTAGCTATGCTGAGTGCTTTGGAGGCAAGGCCCCATGTCATCTTGATGATGGTCCCTGAGTTAGTACAAGCAGCACCCCCATTTTTATCTTATCTTTGAGATGGAATCTCGCTCTGTCGCCCAGGTAGGAGTGCAGTGGCGCAATCTTGCCTTACTGCAACCTCCACCTCCCAGGCTCAAGTGATTCTCCTGCCTCAGCCTCCCGAGTAGCTAGTATTACAGGTGTTTACCACCACACTCAGCTAATTTTCGTATTTTTAGTAGAGACGGGGTTTCACCACAGTGGCCAGGCTGGTCTTGAACTCCTGATCTCAAGTGATCTGCCCACCTCTGACTCCCAAAGTGCTGAGATTACAGGCATGAGCCACTGCACCTTGCCAGCATTCCCATT